CATGCTGTTTTCAAAATCTTCTAGTTAGAGCAAGCCATGGCATGGGTGAATGGGAGTTCTTCCTCATGCTTTTTCCTCCAGTTTGGGAAAGATTCACTCACACATAATTCATCCCAAGAGACTGGTAAGCTTTATATTTCTCTTTATGCTCATAAGTTAGCTCAAAATTTGTGACTTAGTAGTTGCCCACCTTTTCTTTGATCTATAGATTTCTGTCTTCTCTTGGACCTTCTACCTGAAGTCTTGCACTATTAAAAGGGAAAGAATATGTTGCTTATCTTTCCCCGACTCCTCAAGAGCGTTGGTTAGTCTTATATATGAACCATTGGTGTTGGATAAGATTTCAAGCATTGTTCATGCCTAAGCTCTGCAATTCAGATTGTTTTTCCCTGCAGAAAAGTGTTAGATTGGAGGATCTGGTTCTTTTTTTCACCTTAAAAATAACATCTGTTTTCTCCTGCATTATTGCAATCCATGAAGAAGACTGGTGGAACAGGCAGGTAGTTTGTTTTGATATTATATCCTTCATAAATATTGATGAACTAGGGATCAATACAGAGAGAAAGGGATCTCTTGCAAGTTAAATTTGCCAAATTGATTAAAATCTATTCTAAAGATAGACTTCCTTTGGAGAGAATCTTCTCAGTTTAGTAACTCAGGAAGAACTTTGACTAGTCTGGTAGATAGAGGGTGCTTTTTGAGATCTCATCCCTTTGTACTCTGCGCTGGTGAGGCCGCACCTCAAATACTGTGTTCAGTTTTGGGCCCCTCACTACAAGAAGGACATTGAGCTGCTGGAGCATGTCCAGAGGAGTGACAAAGCTGGTAAGGGGCCTGGAGAAAAAGTCTTACGAGGAGAGGCTGAGGGAGCTGGGGTTGTTTAGTCTGGAGAAAAGGAGGCTGAGGGGAGACCTGATCGCCCTCTACAACTACCTGAAAGGATGTTGTAGCGAGGCAAGGGCTGGTCTCTTCTCCCTGGTAAATAGCGATAGGACAAGAGGAGACGTTCTCAAGTTGCACCAGAGGAGGTTCAGGCTGGACATTAGAAAGAACTTCTTCACTGTTAGAGACGTTAAGCATTGGAATGGGCTCCCCAGGGAGGCAGTCGAGTCGCCATCCCTGGAGGCGTTCAAAAAATGTTTAGATGTGGCGCTTCGAGACATGGTTTAGTGGGTTTAGTGGGCATGGTGGCGTCAGGTATATGGTTGGACTTGATGATCTTTGAGGTCTCTTCATAATGATTCTATGATTCCATGATTCTGTATTTTAGGTCTCATTATTAATTTCCCAAATGTAGCTAAGTTGTAGTTTTCTGTTGTGGTTTATTTGGTTCAGCTGCATACGGCTATCATAAATTTATTGCATATTAATTAGCTGACTAAACAGACTTGTAGACAGAGACTTGAATTCTCAAAATAAACAGGAGGTGAACAAAGGCTGGAAAACCCCGCATAAGTTTATCAAAATCATTGGTGCTTATTTAGTAGAAGGTAAATTCTGATTAAAAAAAAAATGGGTTGAGAGTCTTATATTTGCCCTTGCAGTGCTTCTTTACAGTCACAGCAGTCTTAGAAAGATCTGGTTACATTGTTTGTTTCCCTCCTTCAATTTGAAAGTCTCTAAGACTATAGAATATTTTTTCCCTCTGTCTTCAGTAATGTTTTATGTGTTTTGTTTTTAATGAATTAGAGAGTTAAAATTAACAAAATCATTCCACTGATAGGTCAATTTTCCTACTGAAAACTGTTTTTTCTTCAATGTTTTCAACTTTTGGACTCATATACATTCACAGATTGGAAAATATTTATTACAGATTACAGGTAGGATTTGATTCTGCTATTCAACAAATAGTTGTATGAAGAGATAATTGGGCTATAATGAGACTATGAAACATGCGTTCTGTTTAAATAAATTGATTTAGCTTTAAAATGCATTCAAGTGGTAGGAAAACATGGTGGTTTAGATCTGTTGTTCTTTCATAATAAAGTTACATTTTATACAATAATGAATATTAAGGTTTATTATCAATATTACCAAATACGGTGTGTGAGGTTTACTTGAATGCATTATTTTTAGCTACTCTGTATTTGAAGGCTAAGTGACATAAGAACTATTCACATGAAGAAAAGTATTTTTTTGTGTTGGAAGGAACTCGTAGTCATTGCAAGATGTTTGATTAGTATTCATGGCATAAAAGGAAGTTATTTTCAGGGTAAAGGAATTGTGAAAAGGCAATTGGTTAGACCAACATTCTCATTAACCTAATTTGCATTAAATGTGCTACTGTGAATTGTAGTTATTGCTTTTCCATTTGAAAGGCATGCTTTGTTAACTTACATAAAGAGCCTAGTTAAACTTCAGTTTAAGTCATACCCTTTAGTTCAGCACTACAATATCAAACTGAGAATCTGTTATTACCTACTTTGTGAGTGTGGAAAATCATAAACCAGTTCTTGAGCCTAGTGGATTTTCCTGATGAAGTAGGTTTGTTTAGCTGCTTTACATCTGGTCATTCTCAGATACGGATAGCATTTGACTAATCCTTTAGTTTTAATTTTACTCCTTTTAAGAGCAGAGGTAACTCTTTATTTCCTCTGTGACACAGCACGAGAAATAACTCCTTCAGAGTCTTGGGGATATTGGAAGAAAATACTTATGCCTTTATTCTAATAGTAAGAAGACTCCGAGGATCACGTAGTTTAGTTATTTTTTCAATAAAACTTCTTTACATATGTAACTAAATTGAGCCCTTAAAATAGGAGCTGTTAATTTGCACATTTTAAAATCATGAGACTGAAGAATGACTTTGGATTTCTTTAATTTTTTTCTTTAATTTTAAGCATTAGTTATTAGTTACTAGCAGTATTCTAGATATTTTGAAACAGGGTTTTATTTACTTTTGTGCTGTGCGCAATGAAGAGGAAGGCACCTTTGTCAGCAGTGAGTCAACTGTGAGTGCTCAAGTTAAGTATTTGCATCTGCAGATAGATACATAAAGACAGAATCTTACTTTTCCATGCTGCTGAGCATACCTAGCCATCATGGAACCTGGTGTTTGTAAATTATATGAAGTAAACATTTATAAAATTAGGTGGCTTCTTAGATATCTAAATGTTAATTTTAGTGCTTAATTTTAATTACATGTACTTTACACTGGTTGTTTTCAAAATAGTAATATCTGGAGGCATTGAATGTAAACCAGAGCCAAGCTGATCAGGCCAGGTTGTATGTCAGCCCAGTAATGCTAAACAATGTTGGATAAACCTAATGAAACCAGGGAGATGCAAATTCAAGCTGCACATGGTAAGGGTCATAAATATCTATATAAATATTCAGCTGAGAAGGTTACTTTCTTGCTGGAATGGTTCTGAAGATAATGATGATGGACATGCCAGGTACACAGTGTGATTAGTATATGCCTACATTGCATACCCAGTAAGCATACATGAAATGCAATGAATCAGAAATGCAGTTTATATACAAAAAAGCTCAAACCATGGCCAATAAATTTTACATTCCAGCTGGAAGATGGTTAGGTCTCCCTTTTTTTTTTTTTAATTGTTTGGCAAAGAAGTAGAACAATTACTATGCCATTTTGCTGCTTATTCATTCTGTTTGCAAAACAGAATCTGACTGATGACACTATTGAGTAAAATTGCTGAAAGGCTGAACGCCCGTACGTTTTGGGACAGGCAGACAATGGAAAAGAAGCCAATTTTGGGGACAGCACATTATATGTTTGGATTTTTTGTACAGGATTAAGGGCATGATTCAAGAATTACCAAAGATGTGAAGAGCAGTTAGGATATTGAGAGCCAAATGGAAGTTAGATGCTCAGTTGTTGGCAATGCCATTGAAAATTTCCTCTAGCGCATTCATTCTCTGTTAGAAGTTGGGAAAGAATGAGCTGTTGCTTCTCAACTGACTGCTGGACTAAATCCTAGTGACTTACAGGTGATCTCGATTCCCGGGATCAAATTTAATTAAGCAATAACTCAACAGGCTTCCCCCCCCCCAATCAGAGCTCCTGAAACAGCTGTTTTTCTCAAAGTGCATGGTCTAAGAAAGCTTATGTCCCATATTCTGCATCAGCAACATCTTTGCTTTCTGTTACTCTAGACCTTTGGCCATCATCTTGCAACCCTAATCCTTCATGTTTCCTCTGTCGCAGACCTTACTAATTTTTCTAAGTTCCTGGAATTCTTGTGTGTTGTTTCAATGAATAAATTTATATGACTGTCTTTCGCCACCCAGCGTGGCACTACAACAGAAATATTGCATCTAAACCAAAATAATAACCTAAGCCCCACTATAGTAAGAGGAAGGTCCTACTGTCTTGGAGGAATGTGGTAGGAAATTAGAAGATCCTGTAAGTAAGGTTACATATGTAGCTTAATTAGCCTTATTTAAGGTTTCTTTTAATTGAGTCCCTTATGCATATGAATTGGAGTTCAGGGTTCAGTACCTTTTTTTGATGACATGCTGGAGTAGGGACTAGTTCAAGGAAGAGAGAGTCTGGAGAATTTAGTTAGCAGGCAACAAGAAGTCTGTACTTGGCCTGTACAAACTGATTTTTAGGACATTTGTAATCCATTTTAAGAGAGATTTGCATGTTGATGGGGGTCTATCTACAGCGCTTTCGAAGCTGTTCATAAAAAATACACTGTGAATACTGTACATGTTCCTAGTATGTTGTCTGAATCAGTCTTTGCAATGAAAATCTTGCTTGTTGACGTGGCACCTAGCACCTCCTCATTCGATTTTGAATTTGTTGCACCTTTTTCATTACTATTTTGCAAATAAGATATTAAAAGGTCTTTCTATAGAACCTTGGCTTAAAGAAGTTTAATACTGTGAATGCAAGCAGCATTAAAATTAAATGCAAATTTGTTGACGATGTGACGTTTGTTGATTGAATTTACTTCTGTAGGTTGGGAACTTTGGAGAGAATTTATTATTTAAAAAAAAAAATTATATGTTTTTTAACTTCTTTTCTGTAGGTGATTCCTTTACACAGTTCCGATTTGCTGACGAGAAAGAATGGGATAGAGAAAGCGTATGTCATAAGCAGGTAACAGAATTATTACTCAAATGAGTTTGTATGGATAATCGCCTGGCACAGAATACCTAGGCAGTTGTGCTTTCAGCAACAAATTGTTTAATACAATACTAGCCCTCTTTATTCTGTATGTTTTTATTAATTTGTCTGTGATGCTGGAGGCTTTTGGGTCATGTCCTTTTTTGCTTTTTCCTATTGAAGAGTAATCAAAACAGCAGGCTCGTTTTTTAAATAACATTGGAAGAAAAGAACAAGGAAATCCATCCAGTGAAGGGAAAATAAGGGACTGTCACTTTGCTTTACTGGCAAATCAAGTCAGCCTTCCTTTTTCAGCTGTATTTGAGAAAATAGTTTAGTAAAATGACTATAACAAAACTTGTATGAGTTAATATATTAATATATTTGAGTGTGAAGCTTGTTCTAGTTCTTTCAAATTAACAGTTCATATCCTCTGGTTGAAACTTCACCTCCAAAATGGCTATAGGACCAACTCAGTTTTAGATCACTTGTATGTGGATTCTTTACACTGCAATAAAAAGGGGCAAAGCAATAGGAGTCTGCTGTTTTCTGTATTAGGGTACTGGAAAGTGTCTTAATCTCTGCAGCTGTCTTCCTCATGTAAGTCACCTAAATTATTGCAACATAAATGCTTTTGTCTTCCAAGCTTTTCTCAAAATGGCTGTGAAACTGTGCTTGAGTGTTTCTTGAAACATCCATATGTATTCAGATTTTAAAAGTTTGCTACTTATTTCCTAAAATAGTGACAATAATTATTCCCTGGGAAGTGATATTTAAAGGTACATTAAAGTTGCAAAGTCAAATTAAAATGAGGAAATAAAACCAAGTGCAATATTTGTTTAAACCATCATATGTTTGTTCAGCCAGATACAGTCTTTTAATGACTATGTATTTTTTTCTTATCAGTTCCTCCTGCTCCTAGTGTGCAGAATGTCAGTATCCTGAAATTAATTTCTTTCTAATTTCCTTGTAGGCTTGTCATTATAGCATTTAGGTGTTTTGAACACATTCATTAATTTCTGAATGGCTAAAGCCATTGTGAGCAGAGTGAAGTTGCACATTGCCAGTGGTTTTCACAAATACTCTGGCTGCCAGTGATGAGACTGCACTGTTCTGGAGCTGGTCCCACCTTCTCACTTATTGTGAAGTGTACTGTGGTGGGCACGTTCTTCTGCCTCTGTCCCTACCAAACGGTAGTCATTCATCTTGCCTCATCCAAATTAATTGTTTCAAACTTTCTTTCACTGTTCTTATGCCATGTTGAAATGGTTTACTGCACTAGTCACCATTACCTTTCCTTTGATTTCTTATTTTAGTCCAGAGTCCAGGCCCAGATGGTTTCATAGCATTATCTAATTTTTCACGTTGTCTCTGGTCTTCAGCCTGTTACCCTCTTTTTGTTTATGGCCCATCTTTCTTTTCCCTGAAAGCTGGATCCAGGCCTGATTTTCATCCTAATTCTTTGCCTTTGCCTCTTAGCTCACCTAGTTTTTTATCTGCCTATACATGATGTACAAGATTAGAGAATTGTAAACTGAAGTGATTATGATGGTAAAAAATAAAGCAGAAAAGACATCAAAATAGTTGCAGAATTACTGGATATTTCCTATTCCTTATTATATGTGGAAAGCAATGGCAAAGCATCAGTTTCAAATGTGGAATGGAAACGTAACAGTGACATCAATAATAACAAATTTTCAGTTTATTGAGAATATTATCCTTCATTGTTACAAAAAGTAGTCTGGATTTACTTTACTGTGTATTGATAAAATGCAGTAAAAATGTTTTAGAAAATAGTCTGCAATTTAAAAATCAAACAGGTAATAGTCATTTGGATTTTTCGGTAAAAAATGGCCATTCCAGCAACAAAGTATGCCTCTACCTATTTTCTTGAACAAAAAAAGGGCCATGTTGTTTAGGCACTAAAAACAGTAGAGCTACACACAAGCTACATAGTCTGATTGCTTAGAAAATAGTAGCAACTCGTTAAAGAATGGTGATTCCCACTGCATAGAAAACTTCACAGATTAGAAGACATTTCCATTGGAAAAGCCTCTTACGACATTGTGAACTTGCAGAACTATTTCCTACTTTGGATTTTCAAGGCATTGCCTATGGAGCATTGCATTTATACCTTGTTTTTAAACCTTTAAGTGATTATTTGCATTGTAAGTGTTTATATGGTAATTTAGCCAAGCTGCTTTGTACATGTGTAATTTAAAGCTATGAATTCCTCTATGTTATTAGATTGTTCTTCACATTCCTTGAATGTGTGGAACAGGGGAATGTAACAGATTGAAGTCATTATTAGTTCATAGGGGTTTTTTAATACAAGTGTACTGTGTGTTGAATTATATTTCAGTTATCTGCACTTTCTGTGGACTGCCAGTCTCTGGTGCAGGCCCTTCAGGAATTGCCCCTACATCTGAGGTTGAACGTAGCTGCTGAACTTGTGCAGGTAATGCTGTGAATTTTCACAAGAAAATGCAAATATTTGAAGTGAAACAGTCTGTGCGAGAATGATTACTTTAAAGTTGGTCTTCAAACATAAGTAGAATGCATTTTATAAGTAAATACATTTCTTGAGACTGGCACGTCAGATGGCATGTAATGCAGGATACGCCTCTTATCAGCACTTTTTATGCTTCGTTGGCTTTAAACAAAATGCTTCGATGTACAGCACATTAGATTTAAAGCCAGGTTTCAGAGTGTTTGACATGGAATGATTGCACTCTTTTTGTATTTGCTTCTCTTGTTAGCAGCTGTTAAAAGTTTGCACCAACCTTTTGAAAGTGCTTGCACATTCTTTCTTGTTAATTAATTGTGATTTACCCTTCTACATAGCTAATATCAACACAAATGTTTATTCCATGAATCAAACTTACATCTGTGTTAGAACAGGTGGAATGTCAGTCAGGTGAAGAAAATGTCATTTATGCTCTGGTGAAAAAAAAAAAGCAACAATATTAGGAAAAAATGTTTCTTCAGGCTGTGAAAAAGAAAATATTCATGTAAGAAGGGCAAAAGAACCAAGGAGACTTTAAAAAAGAAAAGAAAACAACAAAAAAACCAAACAAAACTCTGCTCAAGCAAGGAAAAAGAAACATGGCCCTTACCAAAGAAATTTTACTTCTGTTTGGAGTTGTGTGAAGTGCTTCTGTGGCTGACACAACTATGCTCTTTCTTAAGGGAGCTCAAATATGTCTGCAGATGTGATGTCTAAAAGGGAATCTGCAAATAAATGTTACTGTCAAATACAATTTTCTTCTTAAGAGTTCTAGTTATGGTCTTTACATTTTATCAGGGTTACAAAGTCTGTGTTATGACATTTAATCTTTGTCTTGTCAGTCTGACAGGTGATGTGATCATCAGATATGCTGCAATGTTATTAATGCCAGGGCATTCTGATAAAAGCAGAATCTGTGTTCCATGGTTAAATAATGAGTTGCCTTTTCTTGTTTCACTATTTGATAATGTTTTGTCATTTGGTTTCATTTTTCAAAATACACAACTATATAATATAACATCTGTTAAATGATTTTCAGCGACCTGTAGTATGGTTTGCTTTCAAGACTGGAATTTTGGAGGGAAGGCCTAACATGGGATAATATTTCTAGCCAAATTCTGACTTCAGTCATTCAAAAATTCAGAGTGTTGATGGGATCTCATTACAGAAGAATTAAAGAAAAGTAACTCTGCAGGAAGTATTTGTGAAACAGTGGAACCTGCTGATTTGGCATACAATCTCATATTCTGTAATAAGGGATAAAAGCGTTCGTATTTTGTATCTGCTTCTGTAAAAGTCTCATCAAGATAACTTTAGTTTACTTCTGAATTCAGTTCTACTGAAATTCATTGTACCTGCTTAAGTGATCAAATGTAGGAAGCATGAATCACAATCCAAATTAGATAGAATAGTAAAAATGGAGTTAATCATTAGAAAGACTTAAGTCCTTTCTTGTACTCTTAGGCATCAACACCTGTAGAGCTCCCACAGATGAAATCTAAAATTATTGAAGACAGCAAGAGGAGAGAGCTTCAGTTCCGACAGCCTGTGGCTCAAAGTGAAACAGCGTTGGTCTCCCATCCTGTTGGTGATTCCATTGCTCTGTCAGAGCCTGGAAGTAAACGTGGTCCTAGGGCAAGTGCAGCAGAACCATTTCAGAGAGCCCTTCCACTGTCAAAGGAAGAGACTGACCATTTGGATGAAGAACTAGATCTTCTCCTAAATCTAGATACTCCCATTGGTACAGAAAACAGACCTGTGTCAGCCGCATTATCCTACAGCGTATCAACCGAGAAAGATTTGAAAATGGATTGTAAGGAAAATGGTAAGATTTCTCTTCTCTCCAGCATGCCCTTATTTAATTTCCATTGCTCTCTGTTCTGGTGATGTTTTTGAACTCTTGATTAGCCAGTCAACAGTACTGCTGTCATCATCTCTGTCATACTGCATTTCATTTATCTGTCTGGCGCTATGTTCTGACCTGTTTCTTCCTTTTAAATTTTAACTCCCCACTGAACTAAAGTTTCATCACTGTCAGTTTATTTTAAGCACTAAGAGAAAGTCTTCCGCAGAACACCATTGGTCTTATGATTCAGCAAAATTTTATATTTAAAAAAAATTAATGTACTGCTAGACAATTTTAGTGAGAGGAAGATAAAGTTTTTATGTAACATTATCAGCCCTTAGTTCACTGTGCTAATAGTATACAGAAGAATTGACAGCTATTTCTGATGGCTTGTTATAAATGCTATTTTCAAACTTTACTAGCATTGATTTTACAAAATTAAGTTTAGTATGGAAACAAAACATACACAAAAATTTTCATTTTTCAGAAAAAAAAATTGGCAAAACCTTCCTTTTGCTTGCATTCCTGTAAGTTATACTACTGTTTGTTAGTTTTGATGGAGATGGTTTGCTACTCCTCTCCTACTCCAAAGCAGAGTGTAAATCCTTTCAGAAAACAATGGCATCAGAATATGGAATTGTATCGTGCTGTAATAACGGTACAGGACAATCTGCTGGTGTGGCCCCCTGCTCCTCTCCTACATTAGACTCTGCAGGGGACAGGACTGCGAACAGACGGCAGTAGGGGGATCGCTTACAGTCTGTTTGCTGCAAACCAGGCCCTGCCTTCCTTGAATCGGATGGAAGCCATGTTGCTCTGGTTGAACTTACTGAGCTGCCTAATTTTTTTTTTTAAAAAATTTTTTTATTGTTGCTACCATTTTTGGACTATGACTCGCTATTCTTCAAGAAAGAGAGATTGTGTTTAAGTAGTCAGTTGTGCATTAAAAAGCAGAATGATCGGGGACAAAGAGCTGGAATGGAATTGTTACCAGACTTTCAAGTCTCTTCTTCTCACTTTTCTAGACCCTTTAAAACCAGATATGCCTGAAGAGAAGAGTACAGCGTCACAGCAACAGCAAAGTACATCTAAAAATCTTACTGAGGAAGATCTTGAAGAGTGGCTGGACAGCATGATTTCCTGAAGCTGAGATTTTCTTATGTGAATAACTGACTATAGCAAACATTAAGTAGAAAGTGGAATCCTCCTTATTTCCTTTATCTGTTTCACGTTGTTCAGTATGCCAAATGCCTGGTTTTCTTTGCTGGCACCTCAAATTCTGTGCAACCAAAATTAATTTAGATGTGATTTTAAATTGTCTAAGATTAATATTCTTAGAAAGGTCTAAAATTCATGATGAAATTGGGATTTTCTTTGCTAAAGATGTAGGCTACAGCACACTGAGAACACTTTTTTCAGCTTGTACTTGCTCTATGTAGTCCTTAAAATAAAGCTATGAATGAACAATGACATACATGTGTTTTTAGTCACCAGCCTCATGCCACATCTTCATATTGTAGAAAAATGAGACAGAAGACAGCAAAGGTAATACTTGGTTTATAATACTTTATTGCAGTGGGCACTTTTTAGTAGAAGAAAAAAAAAAAAGCATAATCCGAGCAGCTTCTACTTGCAGATGACCGTAAAGCATTGTTTTATTTTGGCCTAAGATGTAAATTGTATTCGTTTTGATACAGTGAATGTCTTTTAACAGCAGCATCTAATAAGCTGTTATTGAAGGTAGTATATAAACAAACTTCAAGTGCAATTTCATACAGAAAGACAGAAAAGCAATACAGTTAATGGATCTGTTCATCTGGAACACTAACATAAAAAGTTTGCATAGCTATGTCTACAGAGGTTTTAAGGCACTTAATGTTTCAAGGTTGACGAAGTGTTTGAAAATGTTTTCTTTCTAACTGCTTAAGGCTTTTCAAGCTGTACCTTAATACATTCACTAGCAAATACTGGGGGGAAAAACTGGGCAGCAGTTAGTTAAAATAGTTTTTCTGAGGCATGGCCTCTGATGTTCAAGTTCTTAAATGTCAAATGTTGTGCAATTAAGACACCTTTTAGCCCTTTCAACTGTACTGCCAAACACTAGGTTAACGATGTGGTTAAAAAGTGGTTGCAATTTCAGACCATGTTTGAACCGGAAGGCTTAAGTTAGTTTTCTCTCTTGTAATTAAAATTCCAACAAAAGACCCGTTTCATATATGGTAGGTACAAAAAGCCTGTGAAACAGTGTCAAATTTTATGTATGTCTTGAAGTTTAAAGACATTGAAAGCAAATACAAGCTGTGAAATTACACCATGAAAAGATAAGATTTTTTTTTTCTATACCAGATCTTAACAGTTCATGGATATAAAATTTCTTTTGTGGTATTAGCCAAGTTGATCCTCATACTGTTTCCGGAAGCAGTCCCCTGCTGGGAAAAAATCCCAACATCTTTCTTGGTACATCTTCCACACAAATGACTCCTGAAAATGACAGAGAGTATTTATTTTAACAGACACCTTGCAGTTAGTGCTCTAGATTAGATAGAAACTTTTAACGATAACCAGGTACGGTGCCTATTACTGTGAAGAGAGTGAACTCAAAAATCGTAACTCAAGAACATTGGTAAAAGTATTGTTCTGCACTTTTCTTCATTCGGTAGTACTGAAATTTAAGCTCTATTAGAAAAACTCTGTAAGAGTAAATTATTTGGTCTAGTTCTAACACAGCAAACCTGTACACAATCTGTATATGCAGAATGTGGTTTAGTTTGCTTGGAAAACATTGAAGTGTAAGGTACTTTTGTAGTGTTTGCATAACAGCTTCTTATTTGAGATAAAATATAATTAAATCCTATTTATTTTCTTACTTATTTAAATTTAGGGCCTAACAACACTAAACATACATACACACATCCATGTATCTATCTATATATACATATGTATGGATTTAGACTATAAATATAGTACTTAACTACTTGATCTTTTGGGAATAAACTACAACTGGTATATTACAGGGTTTCATTTCAGAGATAAGATGACAGTAAGATTATCAGTAACTGACTTCTGACAGTGCTAGGTAGACTAGCACCCTGCTGCAGCCCACCCCTTCCCTTTTTTTTTAACCCGTCCTTTTATTTCACTTGCAGAAGTCTCTCCAGGAGGGTGGCATCATTTCCACTCCTTGGTGGTACATCAGTTCCACCTGGTGGTACACAGCTACAAGGCTGGAGAAGATAAAAACGTTGAAAGATAATCTTAAGAAAAAAAATTAAACGTTTTATTTTCTGCTCACCTGGCCAGTATGCTCAGTTTCATCCTTGTTAATGAGATACATTAAAAAGAACCTGAAACAAGCACATGAAGCAGGTATTAATGCAGAAAATGTAACATCTCTGCCTAACCTTTCCTCGACTGGGGTATCGGAGGGAGTTTATGCCAACCAGCAAAGTACTGATATTGCTAGGTGTCTAAAGCGCTTATGTTAAAGGAGAAAATTCTATCCTCCAGCACGTCTCCTGTGGAAGTGCTAATGGCTGTAAAATCTGTAGAAGTGGAAAAACATTTAGCATTTTCTTAATTTCAGTGCTAGGAGCAATACCTGAATTAGGCATATGCCAACTCCTATACACATACGCTCCAACATCTCACCTTGGAAGAAGTTGTTCCTATGGCTACTATGCAAGAAGTCAGAAGTGTGGAAAACGCTCAGCCGCACCAGGATTTCCAAACACTCATGCCGTACAGCTCATAAGCGGAGCTTATCTCAGGTACCTGCGCTCACTCAAATGTGAGAGCTTGAACTAATTAGGATGGCTGTTTCTATGTAACACAACTCTTAGCCACATTTGGTGCACTGCATTTCGAATTAAACTTGGTATGTGCTTTCATTGTAAAGAAAGGAATGTATAGTGACCTTAACGTTTGTCTAATTAAAGGGCAACCTAGTTAGAAAGATTGCTCACTATATATTCTAACATTAAGAAAATGGCCATTTTAAATTTACTGTGACTTACAGATTCCCAATCAAGCAATTCAATATAGTAAGAAAAGCTTGGAGGTTGTACACTGGCAAAACTATGGCTGTTAATGGAAATTTGCATTGCAAAACCAGCATGCCTTGATTTTGCAGTGTCAGTTGCTATGCAAGGAATAATGCAGCCTCCACTCCAGGAGGCACACTTTTTTTTTTTCTTTTTACTTTAAAAGTTCAGATGCAGTATTCCAAAGCCAGACTTCTCTCAGATACTACCAGTTCAGCTCCTTTGGTTCTGCTGGCACAACGCTCACACAATTATTATTGTTGTATGAGTGACTAATGCCACGAAATTAACTTTTAAAATATCCTCTTTGATCTGCTCTGTATTTACTAATGAAAGTAGAAGATCACTGTCTTAGGAGTCTGGGCAATAGTCTAAACACAACTGATTTGCTTCGAGGTTTCGGAAAGCTGCACTATCGCTAAAGAACTATAGGATCAGACTTGTATGTTATTTTCTGTAGCTTATCTTTCAGGTATCTTCCAGAAATGCTTGTTCTGGTTTGGGTTTTCTTTTTGTCAAATTGAGGCTAATTTTCAATGGTCTCTTCAATGTTACCAAGGCCTCAGAAGTTGCAATCAAAACTTCCAAACTAAAGCAACTTCTTAAACTGTTGTTCCGTATCATTGCATGTATCTGGGTTTCCTTCTGGAGGAATAAGGAGTTGGTGTGCCTTCAGGTCTCCTTCCACTAAGGTAGCTCATGTGGAAGGTGAGCACTTTAAAGTTAACCAACAGTGTGGATTAGAGGAGGGGAGACCAGAAAGGAATGGAGATATCCCTCAGTTCTACAGAATTCCGTCTTAGGATAGTTGGCAAGGTGCGCACCTAAATCACTCTGGAGCTGAAAGGTCTCTATCATAATTCTGGTAGTAAAATATACTTACAGATAGTTTGCCAAGTTGTGTTCTTGCAAAGTGTGTGTTTCAAAGCCGTGTGGGGTTGTGTCAAAATAGTCATTGCCGATTCCACAAATAAAACATTTGGTCTGGAAACACAAGTTATGGTTACAAATGAATATTAACTCAAAGATGCTGTTGTAACTGGTAACAATCTAGATGAATAAGAGTAATGAAAAATGTAGTGTGCTTACTCATACCTCCATATCTTCTCTCACTTGTTCTTGCTGGTCTCTTAATTCACCAAAAGCGTCAATAATCAGACCTATTTCAAATGGAAAAGTATCAACACTTCAGTACTTAGCAATACTCACATTTCAAGTAATGTCTGTCAGGCATCTTCCACTGTCTTTAGCATTTAGCGTACTTATGTCTAGGTTGAACAGTTCAAGTTACGATCTGTCGATTTCCAGACATCGAGCAGTAAGAATTTCTCTTACGTAGAAGTACAATCTTTAGAGTGGAAAAGCTTTTCTGTAGTTATATTTTGGTCAATTTAAGCTTCTGTAATCTCATGTCTTTTATTCCCTTGAAAGAATTTAATTTTCATTCTCCTTCTCATGGAGCTCTTGTATCCCAAATTTTGTTCAACAAAGATGACTATGCTCGCACAGGCCCCCGGGCCAGTTCATGATGCTGCTACACATTCGAAGCGTTATTCCTCCACTTTCAACATATTAAGAAAAGAGTTGGATCATTTTGGGAATTGTGACATTCCTAACTTTTTCTCAGTATAGATGTATTACATTTTTTTCTTTGTCACAGAACAGTGTTTTTTCCTAACAAACAGCGTTAGGTCAGTTTATACAGTGAGTGTTGAATACTGACAGTCATTGAAGAGAGGTCTCGTTCTCTGTACACGACAACTGCAAACCAATTAAAACTGGAAATAATCCTCTAAATAAAGGAGGAAATGGGTATGTGGCCATGTCTCCACATCCTGTTTCCAAGGGGAAAGTCTCCATTCCTCAGCTACCTGTGGTGGTTCCCAACTAAAGGTGTGAAAAGTCTACAGCAAGGCTCTCCAAGTTTAAATGGTTATTATAGGAAGAACAGTGATCCTGCACAAGCTGTGTCATTGCTGGGTAATTGTCCAAGTGTTCATAAACACTATAACCCAAGTAACTTCTGTTTCTTGTGCTTTGTCTTTGTGTAGTACTTGGGACAATGCATTATTTATTAATTAAGTATGAAGTTATGAATTTCAGAATTATTTTTTTTATCAGCTTAGAAATAAGTCTTTATAGCAATACTGCTAAATTTACCTCAAACACAAATATGGTTTAAATACATTGCAGAGCTTAAGTAAACTAACTTCTAACAGTCTCTACTAAGGTAAGTGACGGTACCTTGAATAATGGCCAGTAGAATAACAATGACAAAGAAGAAAAATGTGATGTCAAAGACAATTCGATACATTTCATAAGGGTCTCCAGCAGGATCCTCAATTTCGTCTCCAATGCCACCACCAGCTCTTACACCCACATACATGTGGAACAGGTAACACTAAAAAAAGAGAGAGGAGAATTACAGATACATTTGCCATGACTGATTCTGTTTGGGTTTGTTTGTTTGTTTGTTTTGTAAATAATTCTGCTCTAATTCTCTCCACAAGTTACAGTAACAAAGAACACACAATATCATTCCTCATGTATCACATATTCTGCACCAAAAATCTGTTACTGTCTTAACTAATGTGATTACATCTTCAAGTATATTTACTAAGAGGGGGAGTCAGCATCAGCTGTTACCCTCTCCTCACTCCTTACTTACACACTAAGACCATTTGGGGGGCATTTTTCTTGTATTTGTTACTGTATTCAACTATATTCTACCCCTTGTATTAATTCCTAAGGTTCTAGCTTGCTCTGAGTAAGGAGAGGATATCTTTTACAGTCTTGTAATGGAGTTTAGAAATGTTGGTAAATACTGCCGTGAAATAAATAGTGACATATTCACAGCAGGTAGATCTATCTGGATCTTCTGGATAATTTCATTTTGCAATACAAGATGTCTGGTTTAGTGTATTGTAAATTATGTATGATCTGGGAAACATAGCCTGTGTTCAGTTCGATGCAGAAGAAATCACTTTACAAAAATGTTGCTGTGTGTCATATTTTTTGAACGTATAAGTCTTCATGGAAGAGTTTTTAAAAATCTGGATATTTAAGCTATGCAAGTAAATTAGAATGGAATCTTCTGCTGGAGTGATAGACTACTGATGTTCCTGTATGCATCAGCTACAGAATCTTGTGAACCACCTTCAGTCACACAACATGGGCTAAAATCAACACAACTCTTTAAGCCCAGCCAGTGAAGTCACATTAGACAGCAATGCTGGTGTTAATCAGCATAAAACCTGACAAATCTGGTCTTTCATCAACAAACACTAAACAGAACTATACATCCATTTTTATAATGCTACTTTACTGTTGACGTAAGATGCAGGTAACTAGTTTAATCATACTTAAAAATGTAACTTGGAATTGATTTACCTCACTTGGTAGAGTGGTTTCAAATGTAATATAGTTTCATTATGCCAGTTACTCCTACGTCTATTTTATGACCAGACCATTGTATCCAGCTCGCAGAGGGACCAGTTGAATAATACTGCTTGGGCAGTTTTCATAATTTTTATCATTCGCACATCCGAATTGCACTGAGTGTTTGAAAGAAAGTTCAAGAATAGGGAAGATCATTTTGTGAAGTCTATGACCCACCTCTGTTCTGAGGTATTTTATTCTGTCTTTGGCATATAACCCAGGGCAGAGAGTGACAATTCCACGGAAGAAACGAGCTGGCCACAATCTCAGAATATTACATTTTTAATACCTGGTATCTTTTAATATAACATATATAACATTCTGTGGCAACAGGTGGAAATCAGAAGGGAAATTAAGAGCATTAGATTATCACTTGTAGTAAGTTTTAATTCCCCTCCTTCTCTACTCACTCTTGACTTCTTACTTTATGACTAAATTATTAATTGTAATTTATAACTAGGGCTACTAACATCATATACTTCATATACCCTAAATAAGGATAGGAAGAGCTTACACACTTGCAAACATTGGGAACAAATGGGGTTTATTTGTGCTGCGACAACACAGCTTCTTTTTGCAGGGCTGGCCAGTTTGTCATGGAATTTCTTCCATATACTTTAAAGGTTTGCCATCTTCGTATGTGAAAGAATTGCAGCAGATCATACACCACAGTATTTAGGAGAAAAATCCAGAATATCTTCCTATATGGGTGAGTGTTGAATTTAGACCACTGGAGAATGCAGAGGGAATTTCAAGACCATCCACATTTTCTAAATGACATCTAGCAAGAAGAGGAGACCCATAGATTTAAGAACAAAAACATCCCTCCTTGCTTATCATTTTATCTTAAATATTCGTTTGAAAATTCAGGATGAAATCTGAAGCATGCTAGTGATGTTTTAGTTACCGTCATCATGTCATCACATTTCATGTCTGGTTCATCTTCATCTTCACTTTTGTTGTAGAATTTGCGGAAGAAGTTGAATGCCACAACAGTGTAAAGATACACTACTACAGCGAGGAGTCCTACAGTAAGCACCAGCTGTGTATGGAGACATGACATGAAAGTTTCAATTTCATTCTGTCAGAAGAGAGATGCTAGCTCAGTGTATCGCCTTATTGTACCTCTCCCAATAAGGAAACTAAAGATAGCAGTTACGATAGCTTTGAGGTCTTCCTATGGCTTGGGTCAGCACAGAGGTGTTACTTTACCCTGCTCTCATGTGAAAATGGAAGGGAAGAATGCTATCAAGGAACTGAAGTTGTTTCCATCTTTCTGAGCTATATGCATACAAACTATATATCACTGAAGCAATGTTTCTGCTATTTAATTTAAAGGTTAAATTCTAGTAACTTGAAAAACTGGATATACAGTGAAAATAAATCAAATGATAAAAAATAAACCTCTTTTGTTAATTTGATAAATAAGTTCAACTGGGACTTATATCATGACTTATCATAGTCATTTTCTGTTCGAAAGCTGATTAGCAAAGCCATCGATAAAGTGGATAGAAAATTTTTTAGACAACCAAAGAATAAGTAATTTCCAGGTCCTGCTTTTAAGCAAATAAAATCCTTACGTGAAAAAATTTAGCAGTTAATGAGACTAGATTATATTCTTTATTGGCGTTGGCCTTAGAAGATGCAGCTCTGGAGAGGAGATACTGAAGGCTACATATTTTTAAAAGTGCAACAATTGGTATTGAACAACGAGCTGATTGTGTTTCTCACTTTCTGCAGATCTGTAAGTGTGCTCCCGAAGTGAACATTTCAATTGAAAAACCTGCAGCTGTCTTTCAGTGTTCATATCTACTAGCAAGAAAAGCAACAAGATTAGAAAAACTAATCTTTACTTGTTAAGAATGTATACTAAAAGCTGCGGTCTGTTGAAACAGTTTTGTCAATTATGTTCAGTTTTGACTATTACATTTAGAAAAATCTCATAAAGAAAAGATATCAGTCATTACATTCAAAATGACTTTGGTCATCCTGGAGGAAAAAGAAGGGGATAAGAACAGAGATTTCATTTCTTTGTGTGATGATACTGAAAACATTCTCATATGTACTATTTTAGAAACTTCCTCTCCTGATAAGGGAAGAAACTTCCATTGATCAATTTCTGCTGAAAGAAAGGATTAAGCAAACACAAAGATACATCAGAGTTAAGCTAAGGGGATATTCTTATGCCTCTTCCAAAACAGTAGGTGGTTTAAAATGTTTTGACAAGTCTAACAGGGCGTAAGAATGTAACAGGGCTTAGAATATACATTACTGCATTTGAGAATGAATAGAATGTGTATGTTTGAAACTAAATTCTGGGGAAGTTCTGTTGGATTTCTTAAATCTAAGTTAAAAAGCATGTTAGTAAAAAGCTTGGTTTTGTTGGTATGCTAGCTAGGAACATAGAGGCAAGCATAGAACTGGATTGCATTCCAGTATTTCCTTGGTACTACAAGATTTTTTTCCCAGTACTGTTACAAAATGCATTCATTTTCAAACCTTTGCATGCAGCACTCACCTGTTTGCCATTGTGAGTGACTGAAGACAAAATGGTTCGCAATGTCTTGAAACCCATAGCAATATCCAGCAGATGAGCAGCAAAGAAGAAGTTGTTGTAGTGCCCAAGGATAGACATAGTTGTGTACCAAGCTAAGTATAAAAACGACTGCAGAGAAAGTGAAAAGTGACAGAATTAGCAGGTGCTAATGTGCATTATGGGATCCAGAATATAGCTTTCTTTTAGTCACTCAAGTTATGAAATAAAGTAATACTATCATGATCTGATTTGAATCACATTCTGAATGTAATACCTCTATATTACATGTTCAAAAAGACTGTCTTGTTCTGTCTCTTATCAACTCCACGGTTCATTTAAGGAGTGTTTATTGCTTAGTTATGCTAATGAGACCTCTGTCTTTACATATGTAAATGCAGTCTTCAGCATATATCTTATTAATATCAAAGTCCCCTACCTTAAAATTGTTTTGGTTGGGGAGCTTGTTACACAGTACTTTAAATTTTAATACTGATTCTGGAGGAGAGAAAATGCATTGTATTACTCGAGACACTTTAAGTCTCAGACCACATCAACCAGGACACCCAGAAAACCAAAGCACGTAATACAGCTTATTCTTTTAACAAGCAGTGAACCTGAAGCCACCTTGACGTGAAAGCTCGTACTGAAGAACAATGGCTCAGTGTGCTTTTAGTGGACAATGAGTTTATACATCTTCACTTGATTCACCTCAGCCTTCTTGTTTGTTTGGGAATGCTCAAGAGGATGCAAAAAGAGGATTCACCAAAAAAGGGATTTTAATATAAGCGTAGTCCTTTCAAAGGAGAAGGTATGAAAGAAAATAATTAACCAACCATGTCAAACAGATGATTCAAGAATACAAAAGCATAACTTTCTGTAGACTGTGCTTGATTTTAGAAAAGACACCTTTGGTTGCTAGATTGATTTCTACAACATTAAATGAATGTACCATTAAATTCCAAAATGCTGACATTATATTATGGTGAGGAGTTGCATATTGCCCTTTAGAATCAAAATTCTAACATAAATTAAAGCAATTTGCTACAACACAAGACAGAAAAAACTATTTTAAAATGGCTCTGCAATGCAGCATTATTTGTGTATGTTTGTTTAAAATAGAAGCAGATGGTGGAAGAAATCACGTTTATAGTAAATCAAAGCATATTCTTCTAGGCTAACGTACTCACATTATCAGTGAAAACAACTCCGAGCTTCCAAACGTGGTACTTAGTATCAATGGAGCTTAACCTAGGAAATACAAAATTTTTGAAATGCATCAACATCAAAATTAAGTATTGAATTCTGTAAGTCTAAACAACAAACTAGGTTTGGTACTTCACATTTGTTCGCGGAAGGTGGTGATATACATCATCTATTTTTTGAGTGATGTAGGTGCTTCATTTTTCAGAGAGTATTCATTAACTCTGAGCACCCATACCTGGTTTCTAAATCATTGAAACTGGTGGAACAATTTCAGCAGAAGTGATACTGCCGTATTCCAGACTAACAAAAATTAAAATATGTATTAAAAGTACTGAAATGTGGAACCCAAATTGCTTGAATTCAAGAGATGATAAGTATTCTCTCTACTGTAAAATGTTGCCAAAATTACCAAGATAAAAGCTAATGCCTTCTGCAAGATTCTAAATATTTTATTAGCCATTAGATGACATGTGAACCAAAATCTTTCTTCTTGTGTGCCTTAAGTATTGAGGAAACCAACTCTTGTAGGAGCCTAAATCATTTGGGAGTTGGGTACTTTCAAACTCTCATCTTTGCTGACAGATTAAGTCAGGAAAACATCTCTGAATTTCTTCTAGATACCTGGCATCTAGATATTTGTTACCAATACTTTTTCTGTCCTTTGGTTTATAAACTACCTCTGTTCTAACACCTAAAGAACTTTTAAATGCTGTATTATTGTTGAAAATAAAAGAGTGCCCAACTATATCAGTCAGCATCAACTCCTGTGATTTTTTTTTCTTACTTTTGTAACACAAGTATTAAGTATCATTTAGAACAAACAAAAAGCTTTTATATTTTACTTTCACACTAGGAAGACTTCTCAGTTTGAATTTTCCATGGCGAGGAAAAAGTTGCTACAGTTTCAATATAAAATCTGTTTTTTTCTTTGATGGTGAAGTTACGCCAACACATAATTTGTCTGTAAAGTTCAGAAGTCATACCATGATACAAGAGATGCCTCTTCTGGTTCACTCTCTTCCACTGGACTAAAATCAAGGGCACTTTTCTCCAAACCCAAAAGTTCTGCTATTCGCTCTGCTCCATATAAGTCTCCGTACTTGTTAATAACCTAAAAATGGCAGAAGTTTTGCTCAAAGACAGACCTTGGTGACAGTCACCCTACTTTAAGTCAGTAGTTGTCAGAAATTTAAAAAAAAAAAAAAAAAAAA